ATTCTTCAAAGGTTAATTCTTTACCTTTTCATAACCTAATTATTTACACTGCTGTTCTCAATCTGTCATCCTGCTATACATGCCTGGTCAAACCCCTCAAGTTATCCTGAAGCCCCCAACCTTTTGTTAGGTTCACTAACCTGAATAATGTTGCCATCAAATTTTAATATGCAAAGACCTTTGTCATTATTCTGAAAGATGAAATAAGTATTTTCATAATTTCAAGCTGAAACCCATCCAACTGATACCAGTCTTACTACAGACTTTGAGACCCACCACTGAAATTGGTAACCCTATGTGAGATTAAGACATTTACCATTTTTTTTAGTCAGATGTTTAGTCTGAAGAACTCACATGTGGCCTATGGTTGGGGGGAGAGTTTTGCACCCTTCTGTGAAGGTAAAACCTCCTTATAAAGCTTAGAATACAGTTTTCCTATGCTCACATTTATCACACATAGGAGAGAATTCTGATAAACCTTTGTAGAAAATGCCATGCTTGCACTTTAGAAATGTGCAGGTATTTTTAATAAGCTTTTTTTAAGGTATTATTTTAACCAAACTACTACTTACAAGTCTTGACTTCATATATTTTAACTATAAAAAAAGACTGCCAGCATTTTTTTTAAGAGAATCTATTTGTACTAGTAGGTTAGCCTACTCATTTCTGAATTTCTTGAAAATTCTGAAAGAATTAATTTTAAATCTTCTTATTTGCAACTTACATATTTACCATTACCAACTTAGGTTACTTCCTATATTAGGAAAGCATTCACATAAAGGTTTCTTCCTCCACAATGGACCATGATTCAAAAAACCAGTTAACTCCTCTGCATTGTATCTACCTTCCTTGTTTCCTCCCTCTGGCTGACCAAAGAAGACATCTGCTCCTTTGAAATATCTTGACAGTGGGCAAGTATTTCTTTAAAACTGATTTATCACTGAGTATCTACACTAAGAATTTAACTCTTGTAATTCCATTCTACATATTTTCTGCTGTAATTTATGTCTTAAAAATCACTACAGCTGATTAGCTAATTTAAAACTCTGAAGTATTTATGTTTGCCTCCAGTAACTAAGCTTTGCTTGTAAGATTATAACATGAAAGTGCCGTTTATCAACAAACCAAGGATTTCACTTCTGTGAATTTTCATGGTATGGTGGTTTATTTTTAACAGTGAATTCTTCATTGTATGAAATCCCCTGCCTAAAGGTTAGTTTAACTGCATTAGATTTTGGCACTTTTCTTATCATTAGATGGTATGAAATTCTTTGGATATAATATGGCTATTTCAAGTGTCTGATCCAATTTGTTCTGTCTGTAAAGTTGATTGTCAGGTACCACATAACTGTATTGATTTTTGTTGAGATTCTACTGTGTTTCAGGAACATCTATTATAGCAAGGTTCTTTCTATGATACTTCTCATTGATTTCTTCTTCTAAGTAGCACTAATCAAAACTGGTAAGCATTTTTCATTCCCCAAATTACATGTAAATGATAATACATTTTCTTAAAAAGTACTGCCCACTGTGACCTTCAGTTGGCAATTATAGTTTGAGGACATGTTAAGTTAAACAAGGAAAATGTCTGGAATAAAGTCTTGATAAAAAGTACCATAGATAGAAAAAAGCAAAAGCTTTGTCATCTGGTACAAGGCCCACTAGCTTAATCCAATAGTTTAATGGAGGATATAATCTAATCCAATAGTTTAATGGAGGATATAATCTTAAAACCCTACTAATGTATTTTTGCAGGAGAAAAAGTGTAGTTTCAAGGAAATCTTTCAATGAAAATGTGTATTTTCAGAACTGTGGGGTTTACTCTTCATGTAATAAGCAAATAAAATATTCTGGCAGTTTAAATTGCACAGTATACTATTTTTTCACTGGTTTATTTGTGCTTCTGCTCCATGTAATGGACAAATGACAGGAGAAAAATATGACGTCTCTCCTTAGGGCAATTATATTGCCATTTTACCTAAAAATCTAGAGCTGCATTTTGTTTTGATACAACATCTTATTTAGTCATAACTATATTCTCTAAGTCTCTATTTTGCTTTCAGGTCAACAGTACTCCAATGAGCAAAGTTGGGTTATATAGCTATCATTATGGACTTCTGATGACATCTATATTCACTGTGGACTCCCCATTCAGTTTGCCCTCTGTCTTTGCATCTTATTTTGTTGCTAATTACAGATTATCTAATTTACAGTCAGTTTGGATTGTATATTACTTCTTTTCCACTTGTGTTGGTGTCTTGACTGTAAAAGAGAAAGGAAGTTTCAACCTATTCCATTTCATAATGCAAGTTTTTATCTCCTGGAAAGGAGGCTTAACTCCCATATTGGAATTCATTAGTTATCCTTGTACTCAGTGTGTCACAGTTTATAGCCAGAGTGTTAAAATGCCCCATCAGTAGAAACTTGTTTTTTTGAAATGTTATGTAAACAGCATCTTACTCTCAGCCACTCGTTACTTTGTCACATTTCACCAGCAGGTTCTCTGGGTCCTGGGCTCCAAGAGGAAATGTCATAGCACATCATTGGCACAGATGCCACTCGATGTATATGACATCTTCAGATGCCCAGAAGTACATGACTTCCTGGTGACTTAGAACACCACCACTGAGCCTACCCTGCTCACTGAGGTGAAGCAGCCACAAGTCACCAGTACTCTAAAATATCTCATGTGTATTCAGATCAAATTAATCTTGCCTCTTCTACTGCAGTAGAGTTACTGTAGGATCACTGGTAAACCAATTGGAAGAAAACACAGCCTGACTTTTGGTTTCTGTGTGACACAACACAGCATTTATCCAGTAGCATTCTTACTCTGGATTCCCAGACATCCTTATTACTCACTTTTGTACATGAACAATAATGTTCAATGCTTTGCAAGGACCAGAAAAGTTACCACCAATGACTAGAAGACAAGCTTAGGAAATTCAAGCTCTAATTTTAGCTTCCTGTTAGAAGAACTTTGCCACAACATATTCATAGTTCCATATAATCTTTGCCTCCCAGTACACATAAAACCAGAAAATAGCTGGTTGAAATAATATTTTTTCCAGATGTTATGGATTCCCTGATTTATATGTTTCTTTTGCTTCTATTTGCTTCACAGTTATGCCACTGACACATTCTACATATGCAGTTTTAAACCTACTCCTCCTATCTCACTATTTTAATAATGTTTGTTTTACCATTATTTCAACAGCTAATCATGGAGATCCTGACCACTTCTTTCAAACTATTAATCTCATTATATTTAACCCAAACATTATGCATTCCTATGTTTACTTCACAGTTCTGCATCTTCAGTTAGGTACACAAATTTTATCCTGTTTGTCAGATAAAACATTTTATGCCCTTCTCACACCTTCCCTTATGTTCAAATCCTACTCACATTGTTATGTGATGCTTTAGCATTCATCTCAAAGAGGGGCTCCATACAGTGGTACCATGCACACTTCTGATTTCTTATAACTAAGCATGTTGAAATGTGTTGTCAGGTTGGTGTGCTTCCAAAGTCTTCACTGATGTTGTTTATCATGTAGACCAGTATCAGGATTAATATAAAATGACAGTAAGCCAGACAGAAATCTGAATTTTCATTTTAGCAGACTGCTAGTTGTTATACACATTAGATAAAAATAACTTCAGCATTGTTTTTGTAAATGATTCAACAAGAATATTAATTCTTTCCACCATACCTTAAATAACCATAATAGGAGTACAATTACATTTCATGAACAGTGTCTCATCTTGATATTTTTTCCTCCCCTTAGATATACACAGTAGAATAGGAACATCTTAGATAATTGTTCAAAAGAAAGGACAGTCATATACAGATCATATTTTTTGCTACTTTTGCAAGACCCACACTCAGACAAATGCTGTGTTTTCTATGAATAGACAAGAGCAGCATCGGTGAATTTATGCAAGCAACACATTTCAAGACTGCCAACAATGAAGCATCGTTCAAACTGCACTGTATTTTATGAATAAGCCTGTAATGTTATATTATGATGAATCTATTTGACATTCAGCAGTGTGATGCAGTGCATAGTAATTATAATAATGCAGTGCATGGCTGTAGCTTATTATGTGCATATGGAAGACACCAATGTCTTTAGGATGGACATTTAACTTAAAGTAGGAGGAGAGAGACAGAAATAGACTCAAGGAATGTAAGAAAGTCCTCATCTCAAAGTCTGATGGCATTCTGAGAATCTAAGTATTCAATATACACACGCGCGCAGTGTTAAAGCAGCAGAGATATAATCTTGAATTAGAATCTAAGCCTTTCTCTTATTTTTTAAAAAATATATAGCACATTATGTTTGTGATTCCTTGGGATTTTGGGTGGACAACAGGGAGGATTTTATTTTAATTTAAAAGAAATATTTTGTCAATATTTCCAATGGATTTAAGGAAAAAAATGAATGAGATCCCTCTGTATAAGTTTCCTTTCCTCCCCAACTAAGGGGATGGACTTGTTCTTCAAATTAATTAGAAGGAAAGTCTTACGAGAAATACAGCTGCTCTCAGTAATGTCTGCCTGACACCATATTGTTTGATTTTCCATTTCTTTATTTTTTGAGATCCATTTTTTTTGTTTGCACAATGAAGAGATTAATTTGAAGAATGGAAAAGAGATTCTTTAGTTTTAACAATGCTTCTCATTAATATGTTGAACACATGATCTGTGGATACTATTCTTATTCCCCTCCAGACTTTGAGTCGTTATGGCATTTTCTTCCCTTCTTGCAACTCTATAGAGCACAGCACAGCCCCAATTTATGATGTGTTGAACAAAACAGAACAAAGAAATAAAGAAGGGGTCAATAGAAGCTGTTAGCTACAAACACATTACAGGCAATATACAACACCAGCGGTTGAATATTGACCTCAGGGCATTAACTCTATATTGGCATGCCATGCTACAGCACATGAACACAGTCATCTTTACAACACAGAGCGGAATTTAAGAGACTCACATAATTGCCTGCGAGAAGGTACAGGAGCACTTCCAAATGCTGTGCCCTGTAAATAAAACACATTTTTTTTTTGGAGCAAAGGATGTCAGATTAACAGCAGCAGAAAATGAAAAAAAATGACAAGACATGAAGAAAATGAAGGCAGTGAAATGAACTAGAGACTGTTTAGATAGAGGAGCTTGTTATTACTGAAGAACTGTGGTTCCTATTTTCAGATAAACATAAATTATAGTGGAGAATGTTCTATGAGTAATCCACCTATCAGCGGACACAATGAACCAAAGAAAAAAAGAGAGAGAGAAAAGAAAGAAAACAGAAAAAAGTATCAGCCTAAGGCAGGCATGCTCACACTTGTCAGAAATAAACTTTGATGGAAAGGACAACGTACAGACTATATATTAAAATGAACTCCTTTACAAAAATAAGAAGGCTCAATTACACCAATGTCTTATCTGATACAATCTGTTTGAAGGTGAAGTGTGTTTCAAACAGGTAAGGAGAGAGAGTGCAGTACAGTTTGGTTGCTGCCACTTCCTCTTTATCTTCTCTCCAAAATTCTTTAACAAATCCTCATTGGGTCAGTTTGACAGCTCATAGGAAGCAGCTTTATTAAATCCCCATCAATATACACAGTATGCTCTTTCAGTAGATAGAGTGCTTCATCTTATGTATTATGCCAGCAATTACCACACATCTCTGAAATAGGAACTGTGCATGTAAAGAAAATATGAATCAAGTACCAAATCATACTGGTTGGGATCTGTAGGCAAGTCTCTTCCCAATGCGATCCCCTATCCCCACTCCCCCTGCCCCCCCCCAAAAGTAACACACTCCAAACCCAGAAAAACAAATTAAGAACAGAAATAGATTAAAAGAATGACTAGATAAAGAGAAGCTCTGGTGTATAAAATTTGAAGACCAGTGTTAAAACAAACTATATTGTCTCATTCTAAATCTAGATCATGAATCAGAGCTTTGCTTTAAGTTTGTGTCCAAGACTGCATCCTCCTTCCCAATGTGTAAAAGGGCACACTGATCATTTTGACTGTGTAGTCAAGTATGACTAATTACAGTAATATTTAAATTGCACTTATTGTCTAAAAAAAACCCAAAACAAACATCTGAAACTTCTGAGACTTCAGTGAAGTTTGACTTCCTTTGAAGTAATTTTGGCTTCCATCATCTTTTTGAATTCAAGGCTAGGAACTGATTTACCAGGCATTTAGACAGTGCTAGGCATTTCTTCTTGGAGATCATTTGCTCTTTCAGGTCTTGTAAAATTCTGGTTTTCATTACCTAGGAAGAGTGAAGCATATGCATATCTAGAAAGCCTCACAGAGAAACCATCTTTACAACACTGCTCCCATACCACTTTAAGGAAAGCCATAATAATGAAGATAACCCATCACTTCAGATGCCATTGCTGTGCCGCCAAGACCACAGCTGGCTACGCTTGTGACCACATGCAGCGCTGAGTAACTGTGCAGAAGCCCTTTGTCTCACTGTTACTCAAGTTTGTCTCTCAGACACTATCTCCTTCCTGCAACTGTAGGAAGAGGTCACAGTCACTGCAACAAATAGCCAAGGAAGCAAGCTGGGGTTATCTTGTGTTGAAGCAGCAAAACCCACCCCAACCACTAGATGCCTCCCTTGTTTCCAGTTGCACAGACTGCCAGGAAAAGGCAGCTAGCTCTCCTATTTACTAGGAAAACAGCACAAGCAGGCAGCGTGTTCAAAGAACTTTCCTCCAGGGCAGGCAGCGCCCTGCAAGCACACTATTCCCCAACTCCACAGTTATTTGTGGAATTATTTCAGCACTGCCAAAGCCCACCTTTGTCTCCAAGTAACTTCCCTAAATAGCCAACGGACAAGTTGATTTGGGTACCAAATCTAATTGTATGTTTGGCACTTAAAGCAGTTCAGTGACTACTAAGGCTTTATCAATTATTTCCTGTGCTCTCTTAAGTCTTGTGGAAACAAAATACAGCTATTTGATATACTAAGAATACACATATTCATCTAAAGCAGAGCTTTAAGTATTGAGGACTATACACTGCACAAGAGTAGTATCACAGACTCCCCATTCTGTCAACTATATGATATTCTGTTTTGCTTAAAGGCAGCTTTCTAGAAAAGATAAGGTATGTAGTGAGGTACCTAAGTTTTCAGTTAATCATTTAAGGACATTGAACTGATTTGTGAAACAAAATATATGAAAACAAAAAGCATGAAGTAATTTCCTCTGACAATGGTTAGCTGACAGCTTGTTCATTTAGCCAAAAGTACTTTTTTCTCCACTTTGAATGTGTAGCATCTAAACTTTTTTATTCATGAAGGGAAAAAAAAAACATTTAAACAGCCTCAACTTACACAAATCCATCAACCAAAGAACTGGGAATTTATTCATTGTTAGTTACTATTATTGCTATTGACACCGATTAGGTTCTAATGACATAATGCTCCTTTGAAAAGCAAGACACCAATGAATTTAACTGCATTACTTTTTCATGCTTCTGATTTTCAGAGTAAAGGACCTTCCAGATGGAAAATGATATATGCCTTTATCTTTCAGCCAGGCCTGCCTTCCTGTTTTCCTTATTCCAGAAATAGATGTTATCCTTCAGTATCATCTGGCACAATGATAAGAAGACTTTTTCAAAACTAAGCCAAATTTCAGACATTCTCTATTGAAAATCCAGGCTCTGCTGGAAGTCTTAGCAGTTCTACAGTTTTAATCACATATAGGGTTTTTTTTTCTGTTCTCTGTGTGGTATAATACTTAATCATAAAGGTGTCCAGGCTTCCATGACAGCTTCAGCTGTAAATACTATATTGTTTCTCAAGTGCCCTGTGAATCCTAGAAATGTAGACCCTTACACAGGAATAAGATAATGCTATTAATAATACAGAGGCATTGTAGATGACTAGTTATCTTGTAGTTACTAAGTTAATGATTTAAGTTAGAGCACTCATCTGAAGTTTTTAAGAGACTAACTCTTCCCTAACTTTTTGCTGCGTAATTTTAAGAGATCAGTTACAGAATAGCATCTCTCAAAATACTGCTCTTAGTATACAGTAAAGTCTGAATTTGGATACATCTTTACATACTGTTGCATGCATTAGGTTCACCACAGGACACTAATATACGTTAAGCATTTCCATACATTTGAAAAGCATGTAACTCATTTTGATTTAAAAAGTTTTGAAGTTCTTTTAGAGGGTACATGAAACGTGCTAGCGATGGCATCTTCTAAACCTTTGTTATGTAAATGCACAGAAGTACAGATTCAGTATCTTTAGATCACCGTAAGAAATATTTTTGCCACTTAATTTTTTAATGGTAAAATTCTAGCATGTACATGCTGTCACTGATGAGAAGCAGGAAAAGTTTTCATGATGATTGTATTTTTTACCTCTCCTAACCACTTCAATTGGTTCTAAAGACTTTTTGATTTAACATAAATAAATCTCCTTCTGCCAATATATTTAACAAGGAATAAGTTTTAAAAATTATATTCTTGACATTACTACATACATTATGCTTCCAACAAATACTAAATAGTCTAACAAGCACAGGAAGTTACATTTCATCATTAGCCAATTAATGTACCAGTGTGAGGAAATGGGAAAAAAGTTGCTGTTTATGATCAGACACCTTCTGGAGAGAAGGTTTAAAAATAGCCAACCCCTAAGTTTCACCTTTTAATATACAGGTGAGGAGAAAACAGTCATCAGTACCCAAAAAGTCAAAGCCCAGCCACCACAAAGAATACATCAAGATCCAGAAGCCTCTAAAAGTGACATTGTCAGGATACCTCGTTTATAACACCTGGCCTATTCAGTGGACTGATGAGGGAAATGCAGTTACCAGGACTGCTTTGCACATGAACATAATATGACAAGAAGCCACACCTGCTCACGTCTGGATTCCTACCTACTTCTTACATCCTGTGGCACAAAAAACCCCCAAGTATTGACATTTCAGTCTGAACTGCTTCCTGGCCTGCTGTTCTAAGAGGCAGATGTCATCTTCCAGGACTAAACCAAGCATCATGGCACACTGACACCTTTTATTTGGATTTTTTGTTTTTGTTTTTTTTTTTAAAGCAGCTTAAGTGCTCTGTGCAACCATTATCATTTATTTAATACTGACTATGTCATCAGTTGCTGAACAAAGCACTAACCAGCTAGTTGACTCATACTTTGGATAGATTCTCTAGAATGTATGTTCCATCTGAAATCAGGGCAAAGAATAATTTTCCTATATGTTCCTGTGCTATGTAAGTCAGTGCTAGAGTCTCTTTTCCTCACAAGGGAAAAATTGGAGGTTTTTTTTTAATCTTTGCTGCCTCCATACAGCATAACCTCAGCATCCCCTCACTGTTAATGCAGTAATGTTGCATTAGCCAAGACATGCCTAAAGTGAATGTGGATTTTATGCACCAGACAAGCAGATACACTGTTGCTCTGTTTAGATTCCTACAGTCAGTCACTTATAATTTCTTTTCACTTAGCTTTCAGAAATGCAATCAGAACATTACAAAACTTAGCTCTTTTTAAAAACATTACCAATTTTTAATATGGTCAAAGTGAGAGTATGACACTGTTTCCATCAGAAGTCAGTTAAGTATTCACTGGAAGCTCCAATGACCTCCATAAGGGAATCTGGCATTTAGTTCCCACAAATATTTTATTTCTCACATCCTCACATTAAAAAATTGACAGTAACAGGCTTTGTTCAAAGTAATAACCAAAAACGCCAGCCAGCCTAAATATTTGTGAGTGTAGCTGTTCTGGGACAACAGCAGCAAGGAAGTTAAAATGAAAAGGGTTCATAATACAACCTATTCAATGAAGCAAAACATCCAAGTATGTATTAGTTTGCTGTTCAAATAAAGCCTTTCAGTAAAAATACTCTAGCAATTGCATACATTTCCTACATCTCTCTGAACTCTGAAGTTATGAGTTCACCTGTTATTAACTGCATATAGTGACTGAAGTCCTTGAGCAACTTGGAAGTCTGAGTACCACAATATATGAAATGAT